TAAAATGGAGCACAACTCCAGAATTCCCCAGCCTGCATCTATGTTTTAGTAGGGAACTGAACATAAAGCAATTATTTCAGCTTCTAATTTTCTGCCATCCATCCTACCAGCAAACACTCACATAAAATGGAGCACAACTCGCTTAACAACTGCCTTGCTTAGCAACGGAAATGTTGGATTCGTTGTAAGTCAAGGACTACCTGTTTATACCCAGCAGTTGTTGTCCAAATGGACCTTGTGTTCCAATGTGTGCTGCTTGAAGTTGTATGGGAAACAGCCGTTGAAAGTGACAATATAAAACAGAAATGCCACGAAGTATATTTTATGACCAAAAGTAACCCTCGACATCTGATGACATTCTGGTTCCTGCACAGGTTCAAAAAACATACATCAGATAAATTTGAAAAGAAAGGATTAATATATTTCTCCATCTTCCCCGAATAATTTCCCCAGTGCTGTCTTCAGAGGTGACATTTAGACTGAATCCTCTTCCATGTCAGATAGCAACGGTAAACCAGGAGAAGAGAGAGTTTACCCAGGAGATTTGAAGGATGTGAAGTCAAGAATCTGACCCTCACAATATGCAAGAAAACTGCAAATGCTTCTTCCAGATCCTAAGCCAAGCAGGAAGACTGATCAAATCCTTCCTTTCTCTAAAAATATGATCTCCAAACACATAAATGAGAGCTGTATAAAACCTGAGAATACTTGGTTGCCCTTGAACGGGAGACACTGTTTCATCCAGGCTGACCTAGTTTCAAAAGCCATCTACAGGAGAACAATTCAGATTTCTGTGGAGGAGAGCCAGAAAAAGAGCAAGAAAGAATGCAAGAAAGAAGAAAAAGTAGGTGTAGGAGGGAGCGGAACTTCCTATCAAGTGTTGTATGAGGCTTTGCTTCATCTTCTACCCTACCATTCTCAGTTGAAACTGAAAGGGACGTAGTTGGACACTCTGTCCTAGAAGACATGATCTCAAGAAGATACGACAATGGGGTTGGACACTCTGCCCTTGAAGACACGATCTCCAGAAGATACAACAATGGGGTTAGACACTCTGCCCTAGAAGACACAATCTCCAGAAGATACAACAATGGGGTTGGACACTCTGCCCTAGAAGACACAATCTCCAGAAGATACAACAATGGGGTTGGACACTCTGCCCTAGAAGACGCAATCTCCAGAAGATGTAACAATGTCAGATTTAAATCCCTAGAAGCTACCAAGCCAGAATTAAAGATTCCCAATTCAGTCTAATAGTTCCTGAAACAGACACACACACAAACATACACCAAAAATTGGATAATCTCAATATTCAACACTGTGAAGATATTTTGGGCAGAGATGATTATTAAAACAGCACTCCCCACCCCCATCCCCATGCGTTATGAAAGGAGATTGACAAGAGGCAATCACAGCAGGAAGGCAAATAATAGGAAGAAAAATCAAATCACACAGGAGAAATGTCTGTCATTTAGAGTCCTGACAAATAAACTATTCCAATAATTAAAGGAGAATTGTGTGCTCTGCTGCTCCAGGCCTTATTCCACTTGAGGTGGACAAATAAATTGAAAGACTAACATATGGACATAAAGTGGGTAAGATATTGTCGGCTTAGATCAGTGTGAAAGAGGGAGAAAATGCATTAATGGAACATGTCAGTGCTGGTTTCTCAACTTGGGCAACTTCAAGCTGCATGGACTTCAACTCCCAGAATTCCCCAGCCTGCATCTATGTTTTAGTAGGAATAAAGCAATTATTTCAGCAGTTTCAGTACAGCTTCTAATTTTCTGCCATCCATCCTACCAGCAAACACTCACATAAAACGGAGCACAACTCGCTTAACAACTGACTTGCTTAGCAACGGAAATATTGGACTTGTTGTAAGTCGAGGACTACCCGTTTATACCCATTCTGTTCCTCCTGACCCCACCAGAAGTAAAACAAAATCATATCGGGAGAACTTCGAAAGGAATTCTCAAGTAACTTGAGAGTGAGGTAGGAAAAAAATCAGAAATCTCTTTCACAAGGGAAAAAGAGCTCTAGAAATTGAACCAGCATTTAATAAAACATCTAAACTAGGAAAATGGTGTTGTGTAAACTTTGGTATTAGTTCCCATGGCACTCTAGGGAAGTGAAAGTTGGGGTTTGAAGAAGGAAGGAAGAGTGTCTCTTTTGAACTTTGATGTTGGAGAAGACTCCTGAGAAGACCGTGGACAGCAGAGAAAACTAAGCAAGGAATCCTCAAAGAAATAAACTCAACATTCTCACTCAAGGCTCAAAAGACCAGGCTCAAGTTATCCTGTTTCAGACATGTTATGGGAAGACCCAGCTCTCTTGAGAAGGTCTTGATGGTGGGAAAGGTGGAAAAAAAAGAGAAGAAGAGGTAGACATATCCAGTTACATGGAAGATGTAAAGAACCAGATTGAGCACAGATTGTTATGGGGGGGGGGGGGAAACGCAATCTCTGTAAATACTAAGAGTTGACAACCACTTAATGGAACATAATCAATCAATCAACCAATCTATCAGTGTCCCTTATCACTGTAGGCATGGGGCAATTGCAAGATCATGTTCCTACTGCTACGGACACTCAAAAAAATCCATCCTTAGTTATGTACAAATACCACCCAGGGTCTCCATCATGTTGCCACCTGCCTAGAAACAACGGAATGCTCCATCTTTACTCCTTGTTGCTACACAAATGGTGACAACAGCCATAAATGCAGGTTGCCAGCAAGTAGCTTTCCTAGACAAATCCCTTTTCCTGAAAATAGGATGGTCAAGTTTCAGCTCATTCAGTTTCCCCACTCTGACCTGATGATTACAACTCATTATAGCATTTTATTGATCCGCCTCGTTGTGTTTTGCCCTTATAGAGAACAAATTCAATAACACTCAATATTACATTTTTATTATGCTCAAGTGCTGGGTTCATCTGTGAATATTTTGTTTTCTGTCTTCCTTTGGAGTTTGCGGCCCCAAAGCCCTCAACCCTGGTAATTGTCTCATTATCCAAATGAGGTTGATGGCACACCTTCCTAGTCTAGTTCAATCTGACCCCTACAGTCAATCATGTGGATGTCATTAGTTCTCCCATGCAAAAAGCAGCAACTGAAGCTGAGCCAATCTTTCCTGGAAAAAAGGGAGAAATGTTGGATTCCAAATCCCACCAAATTAATATATACAGGTAGTTCTTGACTTACAACCATTCACTGAATGAGCGTTCGAAGTTATAACAGTAACTTTAAGACACCAGTCTTAAAGTTGTCAAAGTTGGACAGGTGTGGCAACCTAGAATGTAGTCCTTGATTCATTTAGTGGCCATTCAAAGTAACAATGGCACTGAAAAAAGGGACTTATGACTTTTGACACTTGTTGCAGCATCCTTGTGGTGCTTGATCAACAATATAATTAATGGAACGATCTGCCTCCAGAAGTTGTGGGTGCTCTTTTTAAGACGAGATTGGACAACCATTTGTCTGAAATGGTATAGGCCAGGGTCTCCTGTTTGAGCAGGGGGTTGGACTAGAAGGCCTCCAAGGTCCCTTCCAGCTCTGTTAGTCCATTATACAGAGGATATGGCTTTCCTCCTGAATTTGGTTTCAAATTTAGGAAGGAGTATTATGATACAGAGTTTGTGTCAAAACTCATTTCTTTCCATCAAAGTGGTTTTTCTCCTACTATTCATGAATCAATATTCACAAAATTTCAAGCTTTTCTATTACTACAGAGAGCAGCTTTCCTTTCATGGTTTCTTTTATTGTCCAGTTTTTCTTCCGAATCCCAATTGATCTGGAATATTTTTTTCCCCCAAATTAATCCTGGCCTTCAAGCCCATTTTGTTTACTTTTACATCACCGGTTTCCGCTTTTGCAATAGAGGCACATTGGGTAACGACGTTCACAATTTCAGCAAAATGTCAACTTTCGTTCATTCATTCTTTCTGCATGGAAATTCTCAAGTGCTCAGCTCAGCTCAGCTCATGCAGATGGCAGAAACATTACATCCAAGAGCAATTCAGGTTCCTTGCGCAATTATATCAATATGGCTTTTTGGCTGTCCTGATCAATATGCATTTAGATGCTGGGAAAATGCTGCACAAAAGTTGTTTGCTGCATCGATGTACAATCAGATCAAAATGGAGTTTTGGTACGAACGTGAACACATGAAATTGTCAGATACCTATTGCTCTGCTTAGCTCAGTATTATGCATGCAGACTGACAGCTATTTTCCCCTCTAGGATTTCAGATGTTTCTCTGTTCCCATCATTATGGAAATGCAAGGATTCAGCATGAGATACAGGTTGTCCTCAATTTACAACCACAACTGAGCCCAAACTTTATGTTGCTAAGCTAGACATAAAGTGTTAAGTGAGTTTTGCCACATTTTATTACCTTTCTTGCCATAGTGCTTAAGTGAATCACATGATCCCAGGGCATTGCAACCGTCATGAATATGAGTCAGTTGCCAAGCGTCTGAATCATGTGACTCTGGGGATGCTGCAATGATCATAAGTGTGAAAAAGGGTCATCAATCCTTTTTTCCCCAAAGGCATTGTAACTTTGAACAGTCACTAAATGAACGGTTGTAAATCAAGGACTTGTCTGCACTTCACATCTGAAGTATGGGTTACAAGCAGCAGATGTGCAAAAGCACATATTATTTTAAATATAATTTCTTGCAACTTTCTTAAAAACTGCCAGAAATTATGCATATACAATGGGCTATATAAAAATTGGGTGTACCTAGACAAAAAGAAAAAAGAAAGAGAGCTCAATTGAATTGATGGGGAACATTTACTGGAGAAAACCTCAAAATTGAGCAAGAAACTGAGAGGAGGAGAAATTTATAGGTGTTCCTGTTCTAAATATCTAAACAAGTCTCTTTGGTTAAACTTAAGGGTGAACACAGAAAACAAAGATTACTTGCAAAGAAGTAAAAAAAAAAACCTGTCAGCAATCCATGAAATTTAAGGTCAGAGTAGATTTTACTACTTACCTTGCCCACAAGTTTTGGAAAGGGAGGTCTCTGATTTTCAGGAATTAAGATTGGAGAAGCAACAATGGACCTTCTTTGTCGTATGCTCCCAAGGCCCTCTTCTGCTTTAAAGAGTTCCTAAGATGGAACAGAAGAATGAGTTAATTTAGACCATGGCTTTCAAGGACACCACAATTCATTATTACTCTTGAGAACAACAACCACAATGACCATGAGCCTCAGATCAAGTAATAACCTTTCAATGCCCACTGTGCAATTTGTCCAAGAATAATACAAGTAGTCCTTGTATTACAAATAAGCTCAAAATTTCTGTTGCTAAGAGAGGCATTTGTAAAGTAGGTTTTGCCCCATTTGACGACCTTTCTTGCCACAATTGTTAAGCAAATCGCTGCAGTTGTTAAGTGAGTAACACAGTTGTTAGGTCAACCTGGCTTCCTCATTGTCTTTGCTTGTCAGAAGATCGCCAAAGGAGATCACATGATCTCCAGACACTGCAACTGTCATAAATACGAGTCAGTTGCCAAAGGTCTGAATTTTGATCATGTGAGCATAGAGATGATAAAACGGTTGTAAGTGTGAAAAACCATCATAAGTTCCTTTTCTCAGTGCTCTTGTAACTTCAGACAATCGCTAAATGAACTGTTGTAAGTGGAGGACTACTTATGATAAAAAAGATAATAAAGGGGTATCAAGACTCATATCCAGGAGCCAGGAGAGAGAGACATGGACAAAAAATCCTTTCTTATGATCACATCCCCAGTTTCATTATTTCACAAGGTTTCATCCTACATCTAAATCTTTTCCAGCCTCCAGGCTATTGCCTTAACAACCCAGATTTCCACTGTACAAAACACAGCAGACCCTGAAGGGGTAATTTGGTTCTTCTTTCAAATTCCCTCCAGAAGTAGGCCGGAGAAGTGTCAAAGAAAAAAAAAACTATATATAAAAGGAATAAAATCTGAATTCTCTCCAGAAGGCAAACTGTGTGATGCGGAGGTAAGCTTTGAAATCCGCAGTCCGTGGCCTGCCAGGGGTCTTTGCCATGATTTGGAAGATTTAGAAGGCTCTGACCTTCTTGGACGGATAGAGCTCTTTGTTCCCTTCCTAGCAAGGAAAAGACACGACTGTCCTTGTGAATCGGCTCCTGGGAGTGAATCCGGGAGTGAATTACCTAAATAAGATTGTAGCATCGCTGTAACTGATCACAAAATCCACCTGTCAATGCAAAAACATCTGATGTTATGCTACTCAAAATAAAATTCTTTAAGGTAAACAATGTCTCGAAGTTCTTTTGAAGAGTTTCATCTGTAGGAACCATGACACCATCCATCATAATTAAAAGTGCGCAGTCAGCCAATACAGATGCAAAGCATTTATTTCTTTTTTCTCTTTTTTTTTCTAACATGGGGACCTGCCTTCCAATTTCTGGTCCTTTAGGACAGAAAAAAATATGAGCCTTTTGTCATTTTCGTACAGAACACTGATGTGATAAGAAGCAGAATACGGGACCCTAATCTGCTAAATTAGATAGTTTAGCAATACAGCCAATCAAGTCAAGATGAGCGAGGTTAGTCTGATAAGCAGGTAGTCCTCGATTTAAAACAGTTCATTTAGCGACCGTTCAAAGCACTGAGAAAAGTGATCTATGACCGTTTTTCATACTTACAATCATTGCAGGATCCCCAAGGTCAGGTGATCAAAATTCGGACCCCTGGCATCTGGTTTACATTTACGACGGTTGCCGTGTCCCGGGGTCAGGTGATCCCCTTTTGCGACCTTCTGACAAGCAAAGTCGATGGGGAAGTCACAACCGTGTTACTAAGTGAACAACTGCAGCAACTCAGTTAACAGCTGTGGCTAGAAAGGACATTAAACAGGGCAGTACTCACTTAAGAACTGTCTCGCTTAGCAACATACATTTCGGGCTGAATTGCGGTCGTAAGTCAAGGACTACCTGTAGCCCACTTGGGCTTAATGTGTTGGATGAATCTTGTCACTGTGGTTTACTAATCATGGTTCGTAGAGCTGGGAGCTGCACACAAGCCCATTCGATTTTATCAATGAATCACGTCATCAACTGAAAGGACTGCAGGGGATTTTATAGACTTCTTTTGTCCCGCCTTTATTATGTTTATAAATAATTCAATGTGGCGAACACATCTGATACACCTTCCTTCTCCTATTTTCCTCACAACAATAACAATCCTGTGAGGTGGGCTGGGCAGAGAGAGAGAGAGTGACTGGCCCAATCACCCAGTTGGTTTTCATGCCTAAGGCGGGACTAGAACTCACTGTCTCCTGGTGATTGGCCCAAAGGCACCCAGGCAGCTTTCATGTCTAAGGCAGGACTAGAACTCACCGTCTTCTAGTAATTGGCCTAAAGTTACCCAGCCAGCTTTGGTGCCTCAGGTAGGACTAGAACTCACCGTCTCCTGGTGATTGGCCCAAAGTAACCTAGCTGGTTTTCCTGCCTAAGGGAGGATTAGAACTCACTGTCTCCTGGTTTCTATATGGTGCCTTCATCACTAGACCAAATTTACTTTTTTGTTTGTTTAAATTTATATTAAATGGGGAGCAATCTTCATAATTTAAAATGGCATTCTCTTACATCTACCCCATATGGTTTGCCAACTCGACACAGCCACAAAAATTAGTCTTTTTGATGTCTCTTTCCAGCCATCTACTGCTTCTGCTGATTTTTGCAGCCCTGATCTGCTATTCCTACGGTATTTTACCAGTATTCTTCTTAAATTAAATTCACATTCAATTTCTTTACCATGCTTTGTTTTGGCTTAGTTAGAGAATGATTCGTGCAAGTGATATAGTCTTTATCACAATATTACATGGTGATATGAATTTGTTTAACTGATAATATTATAGTGCCAAATCTGGGTATAACCTTACTTTGAATTGGTAGATGTTTTCCCCCTCCTTGGTCTTTTTGAATAACTATTGCAAGGATGGTAGAAGTTGAAAAAGAGGGTTTTTTTTCTGATGTTGTCTTAGCTCTAATTATTGCTATTAATTGAGACAGACTAGGTCTATAATTTACAGTACAGATCACATTTGGGAATCAGGCATTCTGACTGTGCTAATTAATGGGGTCTTTTGTGTTGCAATTTGAATATGTACTGTTGCCTCTTAAAATGTTCAGTGCTTCAGTTTTAAGCCTGTGCACATTTTATCCCTGACTATATTTATTTATTATTAGAATGAAACCCCACCAATTCACACAAGCCCTCATGGTAGTTTACAGCAGTTCAAAAGGACACAAAATAAAAAACAACAAATGGTACAATTGGGATCCTGTTTTATCATTTTCATGTTCAGAATAATTTGTAAAAAAAACTGATAAAGGAGAATATTTATAGTTCAGGATTGAAATGAGGGGTCCTTGGTGCTCTCTGAGTTAGTGGTTCTCTTGCAGATGGTTTATCTATCTATCTATCTATCTATCTATCTATCTATCTATCTATCTATCTATCTATCTATCTATCTATCTATCTATCTATCTATCTATCTATCATCTACCTACCTACCTACCTACCTACCTATCTATCTATCTATCTATCATCTACCTATCTATCTATCTATCTATCTATCTATCATCTACCTACCTACCTACCTACCTACCTACCTACCTACCTATCTATCTATCATCTATCTATCTATCTATCTATCTATCTATCTATCTATCTATCTATCTATCTATCTATCTATCTATCTATCTATCTAATCTCCTATGTATAAACTATTATTTGTAAAATTTATTAGCTGTTAATCTTACCTTAAGGTAACTCTAGGTATCTTATAATATTAAAACTTGTAAAAGTTCTTGGTTTTTAGACATGCTAAACTTTTGATCCATACCCGGTTATACTTGACCACATTCTACAAGCTAATATACCGATTCAATTCAGGGGGGAAAAGGTGTGGGGGAGGGAAAATCCTGACCATTATTGAGGGTTTGTCAAGATCAGAGATAGCATCTCCCATCTGCTTGTTTATCTCTCTACCTATCTGCTGGAAAAATCTCCCAGGGACCCTAATGTCTTTTACAATTTAAATGAATGGCTGGCCTGCCTACTACTAACAAACACCATCATTCTTCACAACAAAATCTTCATTAGAAGTTGTCGAGGGATTGAGTGAAGGGCCGGACTGCCATCTATCACCCTGGGACCAAATTCATCCTTGGTGAGATGATCCATATGTATCCCATTATGGCTGACCAAGGGAGCCGTGGTTTATTTCTGTTTGAAGCCCAGTAATATATGAGTTCGGCTCAGTTTGATAGAGCAGAAATGAAGCAATAACATTTTCCCATAGTCTAAATTAATAAAATTCACTTTCCAATTTGGCAGAATCCCCAATGGCAATTTAAAGGAAATAGCTCCAGTTTCCTGATGCCACGAAAACAGCCTGAAGCTGGAACAGGTTCAGATGTTTAGGGGCAGTTGACTTTTAGAGGATTTAAGGGGAGTTGAGAGGTGGTGAGGTTTTTTTTCCAGATTTTTCATTTTATTAAAAAAAAATAAAAAATAAAAAACTCCAAAAAGAGGGGGGGAAATTTACAAGATTAAAATTTCAAAATCCTCTGTTAACAATCTCTTATAGAATTCAATTCATAGAAAGTTTACCACAGCTTCTGATCTATCCCACATCATCCCAATATTCATTCTGATTCATCCTTAAGAACAGGGAAGAGTGAGAGGCTACAAGAACACAGGGAAAGAAATGAGATAAATGACATAAACCACCACTAAGAGGCAGAAGGACTTATTTTCATTTGCACCAAAATGATTTTTTTTAAAAAAAAAAACAAGAAATGAAATGCAACTCCTAGTTTACTTCCTTTTCTTTTGAGAATTTCCCCCCTTCTTTCTTGTTTTTTTTTTTTAAAAAAAGATACACTGATATTTTGGGGGACCTGTGTGGTCTACACAAGGTTATGGACCTCTTGTTTAGACAAGGATCAATAAAGAGATGGGGCAGACTGGAGTTGATTCAAGGCATCTTTAGCGATTTTTTTATGTCCAATTGTGGCAGCTACATTGCCAGATTAATGGGGAAATTGATCTTGTCTGGAATGCAATATATTCTTGCCTTCAAAGAGA